GGAAGGGGAAGCGAGTCTTTGCTTTTTGCTTTGAGCACAAAATGACTTTCAGAAACAGGCGATGCAGCCTCCGTTTCTATGGAGAGGAATGCGTTTGCAGGGCCGTAATTTGGTGGAGACGGAGCTAACCTCCTCTGCTTCACAACTCAGTAAGCAGTGCGAAGACAGATTCTCAGAGACAATGCTACTTTTTCTGCCAGCAGATATCTATTTGTGGAAATGGGTCAGCCTCCTCTTGGTGGACATGTTAGCGCTCCACTGCCTGGGAGCGCTTGCTTTACAATTTTTCTGCCCGTTCCCTATGCAGCAGAGCTTCTCTGCATAATTCTTCCTGGCAGCCCAGTGTTTCATGAATTGAAGCAAGTTAACCACAAGGAGAGGATGACATTTCAAGACAGGGCAGCAGGATGAATTCCAACTCCTGGGCACACACACGAGGGCAGGGATGGGTGGGTTGGATTTCCATTAAACAAAAGGCTAAGGAGTGCAAAATGAAACAGCAGAGCCAGCATAAAAAGGACTTCATTAATCAATCTTCTGTTCTTATAGATTTGTACTGGTATTGTTATAGGTGCTTGATAATGATGCAATCCTGTTGTCTAGATTCATCCTGGAAGTTAAAGATTGTGTTGTGGCTTGCTCAGTTTGAATATATTACTTTTTTGGGACTACAACACTCAGAATCTCCCAGCCAGTGGGAGGTATTCTGGCTATTGTTTGTTATTGTTGTGTGCCTTAAAGTCATTTCTGATGTATGGCAAACCTAAAGCGACTATAATGGGATTTCCCTGGCAAGTTTCTTTAGAGGGGGTTTGCCATTACCATCCTCTGAGGATGAGAGAGTGTGACCTGCCCAAGGGTTACGTGGCCAAACCGGGATTTGAACCCTGGTCTCCAGAGTTATAATCCAATGCTCAAACCACTACACCATGTTGTCATTCCCCAAAAATAAAATTTCTAAGCTGTAGGGTTGCTGTGGTACTAGCTGCATCTCTATGAATCAGCCTTCAGGGGAGAACACTGTCACAGCATTCTGAATTATTGCTACTCCATCATTAGCCAGTTTTCTTTTCTCTATTTTCTTTTGGGATCCATCGTTCTTCCTTCTCATGTCCTAGCAACCAGCGCTGCATCACGATTCCTGGTGTACTAGAGAGTCAGCCTGGCTGTAGTAGCAAGAACCAGCATCTAGAAAGGACTTTGCCCACTGCCCCACTCATTTCTTTTTCTAGCCATTGAACAGAACTTTGGCAGGTCTTCCACTAATGCCAATTATCTGAATACTGAAGTTCAGCCTCAGAGGTGGCTGAAACAGATGGTCTTTGGAAGTCTGACATTGGATCAACAGCTGTGCTGTCTGCTGCTGGAGTTTATATTGCCTGTTTGCATCCACTATGCTGTTTCTGTGTTTGTAAATGAAACAGATCTCACAAAGGCACCTTATGTCTCCAGTACTGTCGCATCCGAAGAAAACCAAACCTGGCAATGCCTCGGAACCTGTCTCTGCTCCGGAGGTGGGGAAGTATACTCATGACGATAGGATAAATTGTAAAAATGACACTACAATTGACATGTGAATTACAAAATGACAAGTAGAGCCCTGAAGTGAATGGAGCTTTCTTGAAAACCCCATATGATGAAATCAAAAACAAGTTCATTGTCCCAAATACTTAATTTCATACAGTGTGCTTTTCTTGTTTTCTTATGACATCAGGGGTGAAGAGAAGTTTTTTTGTTTTTTTTTTGTTGGCTGTAACTGTAAACAGTCCATAGTATGTTCAAACTAGGGAGTCAGGAAGAAAATTGCAGTCAGGTTTGGATATGAACTGACAAACTGTGGTTTGCTTTGCTGCTTTTCAAATGGCTAAATTAAAACAGTCAATTTTTAGACCCATAAATGGTGGGATGGAAATGAAGATCTTGCTGTAGGCCTCTGTGCAAATTCCTTTCTCCCTTTCCCATTTTACTTATCTCCTTTGCTAACCAGGAATTGTCACCATATATGTGCATTCAAATGGGTTTAGTTTAGAGGAAGGATTGGAGAGTGTTCTGAGGCCTTCTAAATGTTGTTGGACCACAGCTCCCATCATTCCCTAGTCAGTGTACCCTGTAGTAAGGGATTATTGGAATTACAGTTGAAAAAGCTGTAGAAAGCTATGGTTACCGAGCAATGCCTAAATACCCTAAAGGCTCCAGATCCTCTCTGATCTTGGAAGCTAAGCAGAATCAGTTCTGGCCAGTATTTTGATGGGAGACTGTCAATGAATACCAGATGGTGTGGGTATATTTTATTTATGTATTTATTGAATTTATATCTGTCACTGGCAAGCTCATCTCAGTTTTCCTTGCCTGAGAAAACTCTATGGAATTCATATGGTCACCATAAGTCAACAGGTGACTTGAAGGCATGTGTGTGCTGACAGTTATCCACTCCCTGTTTAGAAGCACTCTTTGTTGGTGCTGACCATTGTGTGTGTATATATGTCTTCAAGTTACTTATGGTGACCCCATGAATTTCATAGACCATTACCAATATTACATTTGGTGGTGCAACTGTCTATGAGGAAGGAAGGAATACAGTGTGGTGATAGAGTAAATGGAACCACAGGCACTGCAACAACAGCATAAGCTATTCATGAGAAAATAAAGGCCAATATCCTGGTTAAGTGTAATGTAAGAGTTCAACATGTGAAACTTGACTGTGGCCCCCATATCACTGCTCCCAAGACTCACTGCCTGTCACCACCTGAGGACATCTTACATGGGGTTCTCCAGAGGTTTTACCAAGTGATGTCACTGGTTTGCGTCTGGCTGCAGGAGTATAGCCACATAGATGCTTCTTCAGTCCCCTCCACATCACAATGCAATAGTGAGTCCTGGTAAGGCTTTGGACTATGTGAAGAGAATACCAATCTCCATGGTGACCCAAAATACATACACAGTGTAAGAAGAACTTATGCTTGAATGCGTTATGAACAGGATGCCAGCCATTGACGTCCCATTGGTTCTTGAGCTGCTCAGGATTAGTCAATGCAGCTCTGTTTCCTGACAGAGTTGGGTTTCTCTGCTGCCCCTCTGCCATCACTATATATCAGTCTAGAAAGAGCTTACCTTGATGTGAAACTTCTGCCAGTCTACATCACCAACAGGATTCCCACTTATAATTTGCACAACTTTGGATGTCATCATGCAGATGAAGGAACCAAAAAAGGGCACCCTGTAAGAGAAAATAGGGAATCCACAGCACATTCCTTGTCTTCGTTGTTTTTTGTGCCTTTTAAGTCATTGCTGAAAGTCATAGGCTGCATCTGCACTGCAAAAAAAAAAAGCAGTTTGACACCACTTTAACTGTCATGGCTCATTGCTGTGGAATTCTCGGATTTGTAGTTTGTTGGGACACCACAGTGCTCTGGCAGAAAAGTCTAAATATCTGCCATAACTACAAATCCCAGAATTCCATAGCATTGAGCCAGGGCAGTTAAAGTGATGTCAAACTGCATTATTTCTGCAGTGCAGATGCAGCCTTAGAACAATAAATCTTCATGTAGGAAATATTTCACAAGAAGGAAAAACAAACAAGTGAACCACAAATACAGAAAGGTAGTTCATAAATTCTTGGATCCCTTCATTCTAGCCATGCTTGCTTCCTGATAAATTCTGCCCTCTGATCAGTTTCTCTGCTGAAGCTGTCCTAATTTTGTTGGACTGTTGTGACAGTTCCAAACGACAAAGTAGGCTTTCCCTTTGCCAGAGGCTCCTTATTTATGCTGGCAAAAGGCGGCCAAACACTTGGAGAGATTGCGTGTGGCCTATAGGGTCTCATTTGGGTTTCCAAATGTTTGCCGGTTCAGAAGTCTCTTGAGCCATTTGTCTGTTGCTATTATTGGTTTGGACTGACACGACAACAACAGAGGACAGCATTGCACCCTTAGATGCAATGTTGTCAACACACTTTAACAGAAAAAGCATTGTAACTATTGGCTTTTCTACAGTACATCCTGTTTGTTTTCCTAAGCGTGCCTAACATATCCATATTTCCACCAAGTTCGATCAGTGATGCTCTGGGTTGCTTCTTAAATGTCTGTCTCAGCCTGTGACATCTATGGTTTCCAGCTATGGTTTAATTCTTTGCTGCGGGGCCAGTGTCTGCTTTGCTACTGTTAAGGGTGTATGTTGTGTGTTTATGTTTACAATGGGCTCTTGGTACCTGCTGGGGTTTGGTTCCAGGACCCTTCATGGATACCAAAGTCTATGGATGCCCAAGTCCCATTTTATAAAATGGTGTAATAAAATGGCGTCCCTTGTATAAAATGGCAAAATCAAGGTTTGCTTTTTTTGGATTTTTTTTGGGGGGGGGAATATTTTCAAGGCATGGATGATTGAAGCCATGGATGCAGGATCTGTGGATACCGTGCCTTTTGCTCAGTTGTGGGTGTTGTGGGAACAAAGAAGACAGCAGAGGATTTGTGCTTTGTGATATGGCTCAATAGCTTGTAGCATTTTTTAAAAAGTAACTCATCTGAGATACTTTTCAGGAATGTATCTCAGTTTCCAGAATTCGCAGCTATAATGACAACTATTTACTTTGGGTCTTGGGACTGTAACTGTGACTAATTATTTTTTCAAAGTTACTTTCCAAGCTCTGCCTTATCTTAACCTGCAGCCGTTCTCTGTTCCAGTTTGTAATCTTCAGAGACCGAGATTTGCAAATATATGGCAATGAATCGCTTTCTAAACCCCTGGAGACACTATTCTTTAATTGCAAATGCCATCCTGAGTGTTTCAGGCTGTGAGGTTACCACCTATGCACCTTGCTTTTACTGGAAAAAACAGTGGGGAAAAAGAAAAGTGAGCGGTGGCAAATCACTAAAAATAAACATCTGTGTTAAAAACTATGTAATTTTTATGGTACTTCATATCTCTAAAGCTTTGCATTTCTATGGAAACCATTTGTATGGGGAGTAATTTCCCCTCTCCTGTCACTGTTGTTCTTATCTGATAGAATTCTAGCTGGGTTTAAAGATGGTTCCTCTCATATTACCCCCACTTATTTCCTGGCTTGTCACTCTCGTGAATTTATTATTGAGTATTAAACATTTATCAGAAGGATCCTGCATTTGCTTTTCTGGTCTGATCCCCCTACTGCCTGCTCCCTAAAATGCACTCACTTCCAAATGCCGTATTTTCCGGCGTATAAGATGACCCGCGTATAAGACGACCCCCCCATTTTCCAGCCAAAATATAGAGTTTTAGCACCTCTATCTTCACTATCCTTATATCCGGCGTATAAGACGACCCCCCACTTTAGCCACAGATTTTGCAGGTAAACAAGTAGTCTTATACGCAGGAAAATAAGGTACCCTTCCTAAGAGTGAGAAAAGAAGGATAGGAAGTGACAGAGAAAGAGAGTTTGTTCACAGATTTGGTAAACCAAGTAAAGAGGGCAGTTCCATTAAAATAAGAAACAAGTGAAGAGAGGAAGTGAACCTGGTACTGATTTTCTATTTATTTTTTAAATTTTCTATGTATTCTAAGGAGCCAGTGTGGCATAATGGTTTGAGTGTTGGACTATGACTCTGGAGACTAGGATTCAGTTTCCTGCTTGGCCATGAAATTCACTGGGTGATCTTGGGCAAGTCACATACTCTCAGCCTCAGGGGAGAATAATGTAGGCAAACCTATGGCATGTGTGTGTTAGAATCCTGTTAGTATTCTATCAGATATGTAGTATAGTGTGGGGATGATGGGAAGATGGGTTAGTTATGTTAGAGTGCAGGTGCTTTATCAAGTGACCTTGGGTGGCTGGCTCGGCTAGCTGGGAACGAACGAGATGTTTGGGAAAAGGAAGGAGGGGTTGAGAGCGCGGGCTTTTTGCACATTCTTTTCACTAGCTGTATGGGGGGGATTTTTTCAGTCTCAGCTAAAACGTCTGATAGG